TGTGTCGTGTGCGTGTATCACGCGCGTGTGCGTGTACATGCGCGTGTGCGTGTGCGTGTGGTATCGGTCAGTTAATACCTATATGCAGTGTTTACTGAGGGTTATTCTTTGTACTGGTTCATGTATAAAGTTTGAGTGGACAATACAACAAATACCAAAGGGGCTAGTTCTTGTTTGATGCGTGTCATTTCATTCATATATTAAAGTTGTATCCAGTAGGTGCGGCACGAAACAACGAGATACTGAGATTGTGGTGATATAGGTTTCAGTTCATGTATTTGTATATCTTTCTTTGTATGGTCCCGTCTTGTTGTGCTAAGCAAACTTAGTTGAAAGGCAGCATTTATTGATAAATTATGTTTTTATTATGAAAAGCTTTCTTGGCTTTCGATTTAAATATATTACAACTGAGTGTAGTTGTTGTCTCTCTTAACCTGTAATTTTATTCGCATTAAAAAACGGTGTCCTTGCATTCTGTTCTTTTTATATTCGAACGTATAGTAGCCACGCAAATTTCCTACAAAATACATGTTGAAATTATTTATTCTGTTCAAAAATGAAAGCTATCACTGATTTAGAGAACTGTAGTTCCAATCTCCATGTACTGTCACACCCACAGTCAACAGGCACTTGGACCGTTTCAATAATAAATGATGGTTAATAATACAACTTTTACTAGCCCTACCAGTACCAGTACCAGTAATAGTCGATAGAATGTTGATTTGACCTAATACTTCACTCACCACCGTCCAAAACACCGCTGCAACACATAGCGCGCACGCCCTTTGTGCATGCACAAATACACAGTGATATAGTACTTATCACTCTATATCTATATAAACTCTGTATTACTGTTGTATTTGTGCATGCACAAGGGCGTGCGCGCTATGTGTTTTGCAGCGGTGTATTGGACGTGTTGAAGTGAATTTATTAAGGTCAAATCAAACATTAAGACTATTACTGGTACTGGTAGGGCTAGTAGTATTACTGACAAGTTGTATTTTAATATTTACTTAACCATCATTTATATTATTGAAACGGTCCAAGTGCCTGTGCCACAGTCATGTTCTCTCGCCTGATATGCTTGGTACGTAAATGAACCGCTGAGTTAGTAAAGGCATAACGCAATGAACACCCTCAGTTTTATGGGCGAAGGGCATGCCGTGCCGGATAATATTCTATATTGTCACCGCTGTCCCTGGCTCCTAAACCTCCTACAAAACTACACCGTGACTGCTTCAGCCCGTCTGTGAGACGGAATAGTCTAAAGCAGGCACGTAATCAGCAAAAAATAACTACTTTCCAGTATGTGCTTAGGGAACAGAGCGAACGTAGACCTCATTGCAAACACCAGGGGCCTTTTGTCAGAAACTTCGTAAAGTTACGATTAATTTTAAGTCTAAAGTTAAAGAGTTAAAGTTAATGTTAAGACTAATTTTTTTCTGAGAACGGCCCCTGGCGCGGGCAGAGGGGATATCTTTGTCACGTCAATATGACATCGTCGCGCCATCTATCGGTAGAAAATAATTCATATGCGCACATTGTTATGTTGTGTTAACGTAAAATGCATTATTAAAATGTATAAATACTTTAAAACGTATTTAACGTAGAGTGGAATTAAAAAAATTATATAGATCATATCCATCCTGTACACTTACGTACTAAACAGAAATACCCATCCACACTTCGTATGTTACGTATTACAATAATATAGCAGCCTATAGAAATCGTAGCCAATAACCCAGATGAGACGGGATATCAGAGAAGCGTTTCGAAAGGAGTGTGATCCGAAGCGCTGAGCGCAGATCTTGTGCGCAGTTCTGTTGCGGCAAGGCGCACGCGACCGTGCGACGCTCACGGCAGTATGCAGCGTCTGGCAGCTTATGGATCCGTGCGCCGAATGCATTAGGCTGGCGCACGATCCATAGCTGCCAGCGAACAGTCGCGAAATTTTACCGGGATACAATGAAAGAGCTCAGCTGCATTGAGCTGCTGCTGTCTTTGCAAGTCAATGAAAATATCAATAAAAGTGTCAACACCTACTTCTACCTGTGTTGTATAAGTTTTAGTATGAATTGTATTTTATTTACGTCAGCGGCTTCTGTAAGCGCAGCGGCAGCTGCAGCGGATACATAAGCTGGTTTTATAAATAATACATGCGGAAATAATACGCCTCTATTTCATGCAAATAGAAATATGTTGACCATAGTCATAGCTCTTGATATTTATCTGTGAATTGTGCGTGTTAGATGACATACTTCTGG